TGCACTTACTTTTGAAAATCTGTGGCCTTATAACCATAAGCCAATCTAAATCTTTGGGGACTCGTTTAGCTATTAAATTTAACTTGAATAAGATTTAGAAACCACAACTGGCCACTTACTTTTGGTAAGGTAGGTCCACTTGGCAGTGTATTTGTGCTGTTTTGCACAAGTATCCTGAATTTACTTGAGGTTGCTTATTTTTTTATGAGATACAAGCCCTACTGGTAATTGTTACCTGTGTGTGGTTCAGCATAGCTGTAGGTGAGTGGCAAGTGCCTTAAGCTTATTTTCCATCCTTTATTTTTTTTTTTTTTGCCCTATCCCACTTTTCCCTGCCTCAGCTGTGCATGTTGTAGGTGCTGGTTGTTCCTTCTGCACCATTTACATATCGATTAATCAAGTGTCAGCTCTTAATTCCCTGCACATGTTTTACTGAGGGGGTACTGGCCCCTGATGTAGGAGATACAAAGTCAACCCTCCAGCTCTTAAAAGAACAAACTGCTCCCAAATTTGGGAGGTTGTTTTTGGTTTTGTTTTTTTTTTTACAGCAGGTTTATTTTTTGTGTCCAAACCTGGCTTTCTAACTTGCATTTGTCTCATGCTTTGGCCTGCTGGAAGGAGGGAAATAAAGCATCGTGGCCAAAAATGTCTTGATTGTTCAAGGAATGAAGGCTTGTGAAGATGAGCAATGCTTCCTCTGGGCTTGAGTCACAACTGCAAAATGAGTGTTTTGGGCTGCAAATGATAATTCTGCTGTTGCCTTTATTTTAGAATCCTGCTCTAGCAGTGCACTGCACTTGGGTTCTGTGCATGGCAGGGCTCAGGAGTTCTTTTATATCCTCATAAAACCCTGTCACCTGTGTAGGAATACCTGACCAAGCAGGGTCAGGCTGGCCAGGACAGGCCCAGAGCAAATCCTCTTCATCCCTGTCCTGTTCTGTTGGGGCTGCCTGGATGGAATCACCACGGGATCGAGCGTGGAGTGATTCTGAAACCCGTGGAACTGCGTGTACTGACATGAGATTAAAAACTCCTGCTGCTTGGTACCCTAATGCTAGACACTAAAATGTTTGTGCCAACTTATTTCAGCTGAAAAATCTGAGAGGGGGCTCCCTGTGAGTGCCTGGGTGGTGCTGGGGGGCAGGAGGTTGCCATCAGTCTGTCTCACCCCGCTGTTTCAGAGCAGCACTGGGGGAACAACCCTGCTTATCCTGTTGTATGAATTGACAAAACAGCACAAGGACAGTGGGTGTCAGAATGGAGCCCACTCTGCTCCGAGGAAGCAGCTTTTTTCCTGGTTTTTAGGAGGAATCTAATATGAATTAACAGTGCAGTGCCTCATCTGATAAGGGAAGCAGTGTGAGAACTGTGGATCTCCTTGCACTACTCAGAAATACACACAACTCTCACTCCAAATCCTGTGTAAATGGAGTTAATGAACGGTGAGACAGCTGCTTCCCTGCCAGTCCGTGTGGAAAGGCTCTCAGGTTGATGGGAATGTGGCATCCAGGGTGCAAGTGCTGCTTTCCCAAGCCCAGCTGCCCTGCCAAGTGCTCTGACAGCTGGCCTGGATCCACCTGTGCCTTGCTGATGGCTCTGGAACCATCCTTTGGGACTCACTGAGGACCTGGGGGTTTATGGGGTGGGTAAAATGCCCATTGACTCCCAACATCCTTTCTCAAGCCATCTGAATTTAGGGATCTGCCAAATTAGGGGATGCTGTTTCCATCAGTTCATTCACTCCCTCACTGATTGTCCTTTATATGTTGAGATTTGTTCTTTATATGTTGACATTTTCCTCGGCTACTTCCCATCGAATCACTCCAGGAGCTGCCACATGAGAAATCCATGCTGTGTAACCATTTGTACTGTAAAGAAAGCAGTGAGCTGCCTTTGAATTAAATGGGATTTTCAGATCTGTCTATTGTTTAGGAAAAAAAAAAAAAAACACGAGTTTTGGATTGTCTTAAGAGCAAGCATCTGCCTTGAGAAAAGCAGAACTGGTTTGTATTGTAACAAGTGCTCTTTCAATAAACTATGAAATACTCTTGTAAGTGTCAGACTTGTCTCAGTGAAATGGAAATCAAACTTGACTGCAGGCTTGTCCTGCTTTTTGTTTTTTTTGTCTTGGGGTTGGGATTGTTTTAGCAGAGTTAAAAAGGTTTCTTTAATTGTTCCTCAGGCTGATTCTTTTAAGCTCACCCATCCTGGTTTTTCAGCCCCAGCGGATCTGTGTCTCCTCTCACAGCTTATTTAAAGTAAATATAAAAGAAAAAAAAAGAGCTTTTTATAGCACAAGGGGGCTACAAGCCTTACTCCTCTTCAGTGCTGTCCCATTGCACCATCCTGCGTGCTGTTTATTGAAATTCTGGGAGGAAACTGGGAGCTGGCTCTTCTCCATTTATTTGCTCATGGCAGGCAAAAGAGATGGACTGTTTTGTGCACCTCAAACAGGGGAGGGAATCCCACACAGCAGTACCTTGGCAGGCACCGTGTGGGTCCAAAGAAATTTGGTTGTTGTACTCAGTGTTCTGCTTTAACAGCTGGTCCAGTCTGGTCTTACAAAGCTTTGCCTGGTCTGAGTCTATGGGGGTTTTTTGGTTGGTTTGTTGGTTGGTTGGGGTCTTTTTATTTATTTATTTTTCTTTTTTTTTTCCTGTTTTCTCAAAACCTGTGATTGTTTTGGCTTTAGATATTTCCATGCCCATGGGGAAATGGCCTTTGCCTTCCCTTTTTGCTGACTGCTGGAGCTGCTGCAGCCACCCAGTGTGGAGTAAAACGAGGTGCATTTGGTTCAGGGCAGGCTGGGCAGGGACCCCCAGGACAGCTTCTTGGCTGCAGCTTTTCCCTTTTCCAGCAGCTGAGGCACCTTTAGTTGGTGCTGGCAGTGCTCTGGGTGAACCAGCCCAAAATTCAGCCTTCAGCTCCTGCTCAGTGCCAAGTATTTTTAAATACTACCCAGGATCGCCTGCCAGGAGTTCTGCTAAGGGAAATGGTACCCATTTCTTTTTTTTTTTTTCCTTATGGGAAAACAAACTTCAGTTATTTTCCTTAGTTTTTTCAAGCAGTGTTTTAGTGTGGAGTCAATGAATGGTGTCTGCCTAGTTAAGCATTTAATTATCTGGGTATTTAAATGTACAGAAGATACACTTACTTGGCTCCCAAGTCTGAAAATAGAGAAGACCAGAAGCAGGTTTTTGTGAGTGAATTTAAGGTGCCTGGGTTTTTCAGGTGGAATTTCCACACTGCAATGCTCCTGATTTTTGACCATCCCCTCTTCAGCTTTTCAGTTTCTCCAAAAGAATCTGAAAAGGTTCTGTTGGAACACGACTTGAAGAGCTTTTCATTTCTCTAGTGTAGCTGCTCCAAATGACATTATCAACTTCAGACTCTGGGAAAATAAATTCTTTTGCCCCTCCTTGCACGTGAGAGGAGGTTGTTCATGTCACTCCACATCTGACCTGTTTTGTCTGGGTTTCAGAGGTTTATAGCATTTTCTGCATGGAACAGGGGGGAAAGATCACAGAAAGTGCCTTTATGCTAAAGAATTTAGGATTGTGCTGGGTATTTCAGAAGGGCAGATAAGTCTGAAACTCCTCATGAAGTCTAGAATAGTTTTTTGGTGAGTCAGAAAGAATATCAGAGGAAAGGTGTTTGTTTTGTTTGCAGTTTTTATGCTGCTGGCCTGAGGTTACTTCCAGTGTGAGTGAGTAGCCAACTTGGGGAAGGGAACAGAGACAAAGAAAGAAAGGGCACAGCCACCATTTCCTAACTGTCTGCAGAAAACATCACTTGGAAAGCTGAAGGAATGTCCTTGAGGTTTGTATCTCCTTTCCAAACCCAGTCCAAAGGCCCTTCTGCCTGGACCTGGGTTGGATTTGCTGCAGTGGCTGTGGTAAATGCTGCACGTGCTGTCCAACAGGTGATGCAGCTGGTTGGGTGAGATGCTAAAACAGAGTGGCAGGAAAATGTAAAACTTCTGTAGCTCTCAGATCTGAGAATGGATTACTGCAAACTGGGTGTTGGAGAGGAATTCTAGGATTTGGAGCTGTGGAAGAAAGTTGGAATGCAAGATGAGTGGCTTCAAGAATTCTCAAGGACTCCCTAACACTCTGAGTGAATTGTTGTGGCAGCTCTTGTATAAAAATCTTGAGAAGGCAGTTTAATTTGTCTAATGTGTGCCAAAGGTTTATCTTAAAGAAAGAAAACACAGTAGTGAGGTGGGTTTTGGGACCAGGAGCGTGGTGACTGTGTCTGCTCTGATTGTGTTTGTTTTACCAGCAAATAATTAAAGGCTGATCAGATTTTAGTAGCACTTACTTCAAGCCCTGATAAAGCTGAACAGGAAGGAAGAGCTCTTGTACCAGAAGGTGTTGCTGAAGTGTTCCTTGTGGGGAAGCCACTGCACAGGCTTCTCTGCCATGGCAGTGGTGGTATTTCATCTCCTGTCACATTAAATACATGTGAGGGAGTGGTATTTACATGCCAAGGGAAAATCTAATTGAAAACAAAATGTGTTCCCCCACCCCCTAAAATCTGCAATTACTTTTTTTCCTATAAAAAGGCGAATCAGTGGTACTGTTAATCCTTCTGTTTGAGAAAATGAAGGTGAATAATCCCCCCCTTTCAAATTTATGTCTGTACTTTTCTCTGTTTCTGCCTCTTTCCTACTCTCCTGAAAGCAGCAAGCAGCTTCCCAAGAAAATCACCCTTTTAGCAAACAAACAAACAAACAAAAAAAAACCCCAAACATTTCCTTCTTCCAGACACGGCGAGCTTGTAAATTTTAGGAACCAGCACTTCTGCCTGCACTGCATTGTCTCTGTGTCCTCTCTCTGCCAGGGGGGTGGCACAGGAGCAGTGGGTGTTGGGAGCAGCAGTGGGAGGGTCTGGGGGGGTTTCTCTGGGTCTGTCTGTCCCTCTGGGGTGTTGTTGGTCTCTCTCAGCTCCCTCCTGGCTTTTGTGTGTCCTCCTCCACGGCCTCTCCTCTCTCCCCACAGGACTATGAGAGCAAACTGCAGGCCCTGCAGAAGCAGGTGGAGACTCGGTCCTTGGCTGCTGAAACCACAGAGGAGGAGGAGGAGGAAGAAGAAGGTGAGTTGGAAGCTAAAAGTAATTTGGGTAAAGGCCAGCCTAAAGGAGCAGTTTGCTCTACCATCTCTTGCAATGGACAGAAAACTTGCTCTGGAAAGCTGCAAAAAATCACTTTAATTTCTTGATGCAGAATCCTCACAGCATGAAGGTTTATAATGCCTGTTGATAGGGTAAGTTCCACGTGAACAGTAGATATACACCCCCAAATTCAACTGAGGTGTAAACTGGATTAGTTTAACCTCAAGCTTTGGTTTGGTGGTCTTGAATTTGAAGGAATCTCTTCTTAGCACTGACAGAGTTCAGATGTCTTAACACTGTTGCCTTTGTTTCCTTGTTTTGATTTTGAAAGGATTTTTTTACTCCTTTGTAGGAGTTCTCAGCATTCTGTGACATGTCTGTATAACTCCATTTCTGGACAGTAAATAGTTTATTATTCCCATAATACTTGCTTTCTTCCCACTGTTTCAGATTTTGGCTTTAATAATCGTTAAATAACTCAAAATAGTAGGAGTAGAATTAATTTTGTTTCCTCTGTTCCAAATCTCCTTGACTTGATCATTAATCTCCACTACTAAGTTTGAATCCAGTTTTTCCTCACTGAATAATGAAGATGTAGGGGTTTGTTTTCTCTTCTTCCAGAAAAGGTGTTGAGAACTTGCTGACACAGCCAGCAGGAGCATTAGGTACTGCATGAGATGGCTTGGAGGTGAAATCACAGGGGTTTGTTTCTCTGTTTCTCTGCTCTCCCCAGTGCCCTGGACACGCCACGAGTACGAACTCGCCCAGTGGGCTTTCAGGAAGTGGAAATTCCACCAGTTCACTTCCCTGAGGGACCAGCTCTGGGGAAATGCAGTGTATCTGAAAGAAGCCAATGCAATCAGTGTGGAGTTAAAGAAAAAGGTGGGGACGTGCAGAGCAGTCTTCTGAATTTTCTGACTCATCAGTTTTGCTGGTCCAGTCCTGCCTCACGTGCTCCACATTACCTGTGCTCTTCAAAGTTACATCTCTTGCTTATTAATTTGGGCTTTAAAGGAGTTTGGAAAATTGTGAGTCTCTGGTTCAGACTTGTGGCTGAGTGAACATCCCATGCCAGTGTGGCTGATGCATTCTCTTCTCCCTTCTGCTGTTCCTGCCAGTGCCATAAGCACACGTTCATGTTCATCTCCCCTGGGCCCTGGATTTTCCTTTAATTGCTTTCACCTTCCTCTGGTCGTTCCTTTCCCAGCAGTGGGTGCTGCAGGATGTGCTGGGTCTGTAGTTTTCAGACCTCTGCTAGCAAAGGCAAGATATTTGTCCTCAGCCGAAAAACACTTTTTTTGCCATTTTGAGACCAAAAAAAGACGTAACATAAAAACCCCCAGAATCTTCTCACAGAGTTGCAAATCAAACTGGCCTCATCACAGCCTCGTATGAGGTGCCTGTGCCTTTGTGATGCCAATATCTGACTTCTCAGGACCTAAAAGGATGTTTGTTTTCCATCCAGGTGCAGTTCCAGTTTGTGCTGCTCACAGACACCCTGTACTCCCCTCTGCCTCCGGAGCTGCTGCCCACGGAGCTGGAGAAGAGCCGGGACCACCGGCCTTTCCCTCGCACCGTGGTGGCCGTGGAAGTCCAGGACCTGAAGAATGGAGCAACTCACTACTGGTCCTTAGAGAAACTCAAGTATGTGAACATGATGGGACAAAAGAATTTCCTTATTTTTCCTCTGTGTCCTCCCAAATGCCAACTTCCTGTGTGTTAAATACCAGCTTTCCAGAGTCTTTGAACAGAAGAATTTCCACTTGTTCTCCAGCATCTCACCTCTCCTTCACATTTAGTTTCTATAATTTGAGGTTAGAGTTTAGTTTTTAAAATCTGATAGGGCTCATGACAGCTCATCTCTCTTTACAGTTCTTTTTTTACAGTCCTTTCACTGCAATAATACCCTTGCCACCTGCTTTATGACACCTGGTAGTAAAGGGCATAATTTATAATAAAAAGCTCAAATATAGAAAATTCTGTTTCTGTGGAAGCTACACAAATTCTGACTAATCTGAATTAGTTCCAACACATGTAAATGACATTTGTCTTTTCCCTGTTCTCTAAATACTGACTGAAGAACTTCTTCCTGCTAAGAACTTCCAGGCAAAGGGTCTTGCCATGTGAAACACTTGTTCTCTTCAATTAAATAAATAAAGAGATAAATGGATAAAAGTCTGGAGTGGAATCCACTCCCTTTTGAATCAAAATGCCCACATTTCTGGAGTGGACTGCGAAGAATATTTAGAAATTGGATTGAAACCCAGGATTTGTGTGAGCTCTGCAGTGACTTTGCCTCGTGCTTGGAGGGCTTTTCCCAGAATCCGTAACGTGTCAGAGGGTTGGGGCAGCACCCAAACTGAGGGTGAGGCCGCTTAGTTTGTTTCAGGGGAAGTCTCACTTTGTGTTCCCTGCTCGTTCTGCTCCTGCCTGCCCTGAGTTGTGTGTTCCTGCTCCCTGTGTGCAGGCAGAGGCTGGAGCTGATGCGGGAGATGTACGACAGGGCTGGGGAAATGGCCTCCAGCAGCCAGGACGAGGCCGAGAGCACCATGACGGGCAGCGACCCCTTCTACGACCGCTTCCACTGGTTCAAGCTGGTTGGCAGGTACGTGGCACAACCTCCCTGCTGCTCCACTGGGGGCTCCTGGCAGTGCTGGGGTTATAAACTCCGTGGCCCCTCTGGGTCACTCGTGTGTTTCGTCCTGCAGGGGTTTCTCAGAGACTTAAAATACAGCGGAGAGTGGGAAATGCTCTTTGGAGTGCTGCCAGCTGTGGTGTGAACTGGCAGATTGTGATTGGAGTGAACCCTTAGTGAGTTCCAGGTTTACTTAAAAGAGTGTAGCCAGGTAAATTCTATCCCAAGGTGCTGGAGCAGAGCTGTGAGAATGTGAAGAACACCGGAGAAGTGGCCCAGGGTCTCACTCGTGTATGTGGTTGTAATAGTTTGGTCATTCCTTAGGGAAGTATCTGATGGGATTCTTTGATATTTCCCGATGTTGGCTGCACCTTTACAATGTTTTTATTCACAGAAATGCTGAGTTGGCAATAAGAGTTGTAGATCTTATAAATGGACGTGCTCTCGAGGTCTGCATGTTGATGATATTCCTTTTCCATTTGCTTCCCGCTCCGTCCAAGGACGTTCTTTTCTCTGTCAGCGAATCCCTTCCCTCCCGTTCCGCGGCGGTGCAGGCGGTGTGAAGCCTTTGCTTGTTGTTCAGGTGGTTCTCTGTGCTGATGGCAACAAACAGCTGTTAAATGACCGTTCTTCTTTCCCTCGGCCGGGGCGGTGTCCGCGCTGGCTGCAGCTCCCCCATATTCCACGGCTGCGTCAACGAGCGCCTGGCCGACCGCACGCCCTCCCCCACTTTCTCCACGGCCGACTCCGACATCACTGAACTGGCCGATGAGCAGCAGGATGAGATGGAGGACTTTGATGATGAGGCCTTTGTGGATGACACTGGCTCCGACGTGGGAACTGAGGAGGGATCGGACCTCTTCAATGATGGGCGCGACCCGTTTTACGACCGATCCCCCTGGTTCATTTTAGTGGGAAGGTTGGTGAGGTTCCTGTGGGAATGGCCAAAAGGGACCAGCTCTTGCTGCAGACTGCAATGGCTTTGCCTTGTGCTACACAGAGCATCTGTCAGTCTAGCCAAAATATCCTTATCCGTAGATTGGAATGGGTGTTACGTTCTGTTTTAAAAGTTCCCATGCCGTGTCATTAAGTTCCCATGTCATGAGTTTTGAATTCCCCTATAGACCTCAATAATAATGGAGGAAATGGCCCTTAGATGTGACAGTGTGAGTAAATCTGTTTCTAGAGAACTGTTGCCCGTAGGGTGACTGTGGGTTTGCTTCTGTGCAGGATTTAAACCTCAGTCAGAGAATGCTCAGCCATCACAGGATCACTGGGATAGCATTGTAGTAGGGAATGTTTTTCTGTAGTGTAGAAGAGAATCTGTGTATGGTGGAAAGTCTTTAAGTCCAATCCAATAAATCCCTTTTTTTTTTCTTTGAAAACTCATTTAACATCCTCTGCTTATGAAGAGAAAAGGTGGCATGAGGAGAAAGAAGAAAAGGATATTCCCTGAGATGATTTGGCTTCTCAGGTTGTGTTTGACTCTGTAGCCAGTATTACCCAGTGAAAGGTCGTCATCACTGACATCACTGACTGGGAGTGTTTATCAGCACCTTCCCCAGGCACTGTGCTTGAATTTCTGAAACAAGTTGGCCTCATGGATTACCCAGTTCACCAATCTAAAACCAACGAGGGCATTGTCAGACCTCAGTCTGTGGTGTAAACCCTCAGGACAGCAGGCTGCATTAAAAAAAATGTGTGCTTTGCACTGTTTCTTCATTAAAAACCTTGCTAAAACATGTTTCTCATGACAAGAAACAGAAATATTTTTATTCAGTGCCTTGGCTCCCCTCTCTGCTGTTTCCCTCTCCCCCAGTGATGCTTTTGTGCTTCCCCTGTGAGCCAAAGTCCTGGTTAAAGCAGGGAGAGGGGGTTGTTTGCCACAGGTGGGGGACGAAAAAAAAGGCTCTGTGGCCAGTGGAAGGGAGGAACAAAGGAGGAGAGACCAGAGCTTGGCTTTATCCTTCTCTGTGCCTGGGAGCAGGAAAGACTCCTTGGGCAGAAAGGTGGGATCCTTCTTCAGTTGCCTCAAAGGCAGGAAACTTGATTTGCATTATTTGTGAAAAGGAGGGTCTGAGTTTGCTGGTCTTGGCCAAGCTTTTAGATCAGTGTGGCTGTGTTGTCCAACCTCAGTCTTTGTCTGGAGTGGGGCTTGGAACCTCCTTGACCTCGTTTTTGAGACAAAATCTGCTGAAGTTGCCAGAAGCTGCATTAGTCCTGTGTGGTCTCTGAATTTGTGCCCTTATGTGCAACACCTGATAATGTGTTTTATAAGGTGTAATTCTTTCAGGTTAATCTGGTTCAGGTTGGGAGCCAGCTTGGGGAAAGCCATCTGAGCTGTTTGGGGGTGGCTGTCAGCTCATTGAAGCCCAGGGCTCCTCCCTGCCCCTGCCTTGGCATCCCCAGCCTGAGCTCCTGGAGCTCCGTCAGGCCTTGGGAAAGAGCTGGGCTGTTCATCCTGGTTTCACAAACTCCTCGGGAAGCACAGCACCAGCTGAGCAAATCCAGTGTCAAATGAGAGCAGTGGTAATTCCTGGCAATGGCACAAATTGCTTCCCATTCCCTGTTTTACAGGGAATTCTGAGCTGCATGGACAGAGATGGAGCTGCAGCAGTTCTGGGTGGGGGCTGCACAGACTGAGCCGTGAATGGCATTGAGAAATGAAGCTGAGTTTGTATTATCTGGGTGGAGAGCTGAGGGACTTTCTCCCAGTTGTTGGTTTCTATTCTATTTCTGTTCCTGTGCTTCTGCTGAGCCTGTTGTGTCAGCAGAAAGCTGTTATTAGACTGTGCAGCACCACTGAACAGGAGCTATTTTGAGTCCTCAGTGTCTTCCAGAGTGAGAATTCCACTGCTCTGAACAGTGAAGGACCAGGGCTATGTCCATCTACACAGACCCTGTCCTGAGCACAAGGTGGTGTTCAATTTGCAGCAAAACCCAGATTCCTTATCACTTCCAGCTATGTGCTGGGTCATGTGCTGTAGAATGTGTAGGACAAATGAAATGATTTTAATATTTTTGGGGGGTTCATCAGCAATAACAAGTGCAGGTCACGAAGGAGAGGGGAAATGGATCATGTAGTTGCTCAACTCCTTGGCCATCACAGTTAATTTTTTTCTTCCTCTCTCTGTGCTATGACTGTCTTTTATTTGTAACTTCTAAAGAAAAGGAAAAAAAAGAGCTGGTCCCTTTAGCCATCTCTTCTGGCATGCTGGGCTGTCTATAAGGCTGATTCTATTTATGGTGTGACATACCAGGCATTTGCTCTGTGTTTAAGGGAGGTGGGAGAGGCCTGTGGGGTATCTGATTCAAATCTTGACGTGTTCATTTTAAAAACATCCGCCATCATTCTGAGTTCTGTTGGTTTTGTTTTGGTTCTTTTTTTAAAAAAAAAAAAAAAATCCGTGTTTGTCAAATTTAATTTCTAGTTCTGTTGTGAGTATGCCATTCTACCTCACCAATCTTTCTGCTAATCCAGCTCCCCCCTTTCAGTCTGCTGGGCTAAGGTGCAGGGGGACACTTAGGGGATGTTTGGGGACTGGGAATCCTCCTGGATGAGGGAAGAGGAGGAGGAGAACCTTAAGATTTTGTGCACTCCTGACCTGGCACTGCTGCAGGTGGAATGGCACTGGGAGCAGTGATGCTGCAGATGGAATGGCACTGGGAGCAGGGTTGTGCAGGTGGAATGGCACTGGGAGCAGTGCTGCTGCAGGTGGAATGGCACTGGGAGCAGGGTTGTGCAGGTGGAATGGCACTGGGAGCAGGGTTGTGCAGGTGGAATGGCACTGGGAGCAGGGTTGTGCAGGTGGAATGGCACTGGGAGCAGGGTTGTGCAGGTGGAATGGCACTGGGAGCAGGGTTGTGCAGATGGAACGGCACTGGGAGCAGGGTTGCTGCAGGAACCAGCTCTGTTTTGGTCCAGCCCACGTGCCCTTGCTCTCCCTCCCACAGAAGAGAATCCAGCATTTTCACCAACAAACAGGAAGCTCAAAGCTTTTTGCATGATGTGCTTTTCTTTGTCCAAGTCAAAATGACTGCAGTGAGCTGAGTGACTGGAGGGAAGGAAGTTAAGGAAGAGGAGAAATAGCTTTTTGTTTTCCTTGGGATGGTCACACTGTAGTTGTTACTCCAGCTGAGTGCTTTGGCTGTCACTTGAGTAGCAGCTTCAGAACTTTTGCCATGCAAACAAACAGGTATTTTTATTTTTCAGGCAGGTGATGTTTTCACTTTCCATTAGTTTGGCTTTGGGGTGGGAAGGCTTCTGTGATGCCTGACTCTTTAATTATTGAGACTCCCTTTCACTGGGCACATCAGTCCAAGGCTCTTTGGATTCCTTTCTGTTGGGAAATGTCTGTTCTCCCTGGCTTGAAATGTGGATTTGACCACATTTAACCACACACCTTCCTGAACTCCATCCCTGAGCCAGTCCAAGTCAGCAGTGCCAACTGTTATGGTTGGAATCATCTGCTTTCTCAGATGAGCATCACCTGAAATTTCAAAGCTGGAAGTGAAAATGATATCTTAAGGGGAAAAAAAAAAAAAAAGAAATTAAACGTCTCATTTTGCTACTTTAAATTTAGTCTCTTCTCCCTTCCCCTGCTTTATCAGTGCTTACCTCACTTTGGAGCAGACTGAAAAGGAATTAAATCCTAATCTTACTGAAGTGTTATGTTGCAGTTGTTTTTTTTGTTGTTGTTATTGTATGGTTTTCTTCATATTTTTTTTTTATTTTGCTACTTTTATAGCCTTATTAATCATTCTCTTCTCTATTGCATTGTGTCATCCCTTTGGTTTTCAGTAGCATTATTTCTGTGTCTTTGGTTCACAACTGACACCTCTTTGACCACCTTGTCATTCCGAGAGGGTGGATTCATCCTGCCACCTGAACGTTCCCAAGGAGCAGCACTTCCCTTTGGGCAGGCAGGACTTGTCCTGGGAATGTTAAACAGTGACAGTTATAAATCAGAGGAATTCATTATAGGCAAAACTAAAGGCTGATAAAAAGAACTGCAGGAAGGAAATCAGTTGAACAGGTTACTGTTGCTTAGTGTCATTTAACGTGCAGAAATGGATTAAAATTACATAAATAATTATTCATAATTAGTTAGTCTGATTTTTAATTAAAATCTACACAGTTAAACTGGTTACCTTACTGTTCCAAAAGAGACCCTGCTTGTGTATAACTTTAAAAGTGCCTGGCAGGACCATCCACTTGTGGGCCTAAATGCTGCTTTTCCTTTGGTAAACTGCAATTCCCGAGTTCTGCTGTGATGTTTTGGTCTTTGTTTTGGTTTGGGTTTTTAAAAAAATAAATGTAATGCTCCTAAAGAGGTTTAGCTGTGAGGACTGACAGCCTTCCACTGACTGCACACTCAGTGGCTCTTCCAAGAAACCTGAGTGATAACTTGTGGTTTGTTGGGGGGGATTTTGATTATTCTGCATACAGAGTTACCAAAGGAATGTAGAAGAGGGAAAACATTCAGTCAGTCTGGTTTTAAAAGAGGAGTTTTTTATGTTCAGTAAAAATCTGAGGCTGTGTGAGCTCAGTAATCAATTCCATTTTAATTTATCACTTCCAACTACCTTGGGGGAAAGTTCTTTATAATACAATATACAGTATAGAGGTAATAGAATATATAATACATATATATACACACATATATGTACATATAATATATAATACAGTTACAATATATGTAAATATAATATATAATACAGTATACATAGAATATATAATACATATACTTACATATATATACATTAATGCACATATAATGTATAATACATATATAATACAATACATAATACATATTCATACATATATACATATATGTAAATAAAATATATAACACAATATGCAATTCTTTCTAATCAGTAGTTCTCTCTTAGATTCTGCCATCTTAACAGCTCCATTCACAACTCTGGTGCATCTCCAATTACCTTCCATACAACCATCACCTAAAACTGTGTCCTCCGTGTGTTTGTAGCTCGTTGATGTGTCTCCAGGGAGCATTTTGAGCTCCACTGGGAGGGTTTTTGTGGCTGCCCTTGGCCCTGTGTGGCCAGGATGGACCCAGGACCCGGTGCAGGTCTGGGAGATGGAGTGCCTGGAGGTTTGAGTGGCGCCGTAGCCAACGACGCTCCGCGGGCTGGTTTTGTACCTCACTGCCTAACGCTGGTTTGTGTTCTCCTTCCTCCCTTCCCAGAGCATTTGTGTACCTGAGCAACCTGCTGTACCCGGTGCCGCTGATCCACAGGGTGGCTGTTGTGAGTGAGAAGGGAGAGGTGCGAGGGTTCCTGCGCGTGGCGGTTCAGGCCATTGCAGGTGAGACACCGCGGGAGCTCCCCGGGGCAGCTCCTGGCCCTGGCAACGGCTGCAGCTTTGTAAACCAGCCAAGCAAATCAAACCTTTGACACTCTAACTGGATTTTGGTGTTGCAGAGAACACCTGCTCTCTGTCGTTAACTTGCTTTGGAAATGGTTTCGTTTGTTGTGTCATACGGACCAAGCAGGAACAAATCTTTAAACAGTGCTGATCAGATTTTGAAGTGATGAGGTTGAACCTCTGAAGTTTATGCCTGGCAACTACTGCAACACTGTTTTTTAGGACAGTGAAAGAGCTAACTAGGATCAGATAGTCTGAAAACTAGAAATAAAGCAAAGATTCTTCTTTCCTGAACCCAACATAAATAGCAGACAAGGGTACTGCGAGTTTAGTAGCTGTGGTGACTTGCAGCAAAGTTAAATGTACCAAATTTTTGCTGTGCTCAATCTGCCCTCTCAAATAACGCTCTGAAATGTGTTTCTCCAGTGTCTGACAAGAGCAGGTGCAGAAGGTGCTGAAATGACAGTTTTCAGCATGCTGTAAACACAAATCAGCAGCAGTTTTCCCCTTTGTTGCCTCTCTAAAAGTGTTAAGACTTAGAAACTGCTTTAACACACTGCTTAAATCCCAACTTTCCGGAGGAGGAGGGTGGGTATCTGGGCTGGTAAGTGCCCTTGTGTGTGTGCTGGAGATGAGCTGCAGCTCTCTGGTGGGTGGCTGATGTTTTACACTCGGCCAGTGTGAGGAGGCTCAGCTGGTGTCAGCCTTGGCCACTCTGGGCAGAGCAGGATCCTTCCCATCATCTGTCCTTCCCAGCAGTGGCCAACTGCCAGCAGCTCTTTCTGGTCTAGGAAGGGTAACCCTGCAAGCCTCGCTCTCCATGGGAACCTCTAATGAAACCTCACACTGGAGATGTGTAAGAATCACTCTGGCAGGGATTAAAGCCAGTGAATTGAAATCTGTTCTGATGTGCACAAAAGTCGCATTTCTGGTTTGGTTTGGTCTCCTTAGCATTGACTGGCTATTTCCAAATCAATACCTTATTTATCCATCCCAATAAATAGAATACACCGTGGCTAATGGAAATTAAACTGGGGACATCTCTTCAAAAAGGACCGTGGCATTTTTCAAAGCAAAGCTTTGGAACACATTCAGGATCTGGGGATTTCTCCTGCAAACATGCCTTTATTGTGGGAGAAATCCCTGGCACTTAACCAGGCCCTGTTGTTGTTGCTCTCCACGAAGAGGAGGAGGTTAAATGTGCACAGATCTGCCTTTCAGACTTCCAGCATGTGCTGGGGGAGCTTTGCTGGTGTTACTGCTGAGCTCAGGGAGTTCAGATGGCAGTTCAAGTCAGGGTTAATTTACCTCAGTATCGTAATCAGAAGTAAATAAATAATCAAAATGAGTACTGAAGTTGTTTTGCACTAAAAATTCTCTCAAGTATATTCATAATGAAACTTCATAGCCTATCTTCTTGTTTTCCCACACTGGAGTTGATGATGGGTAGATTTCTGACATGATTTTTTCCATCACTGACTCCACCCTGTCATTGGAGGATTCTTCTGCTTCCTGGACTGGTTTCCAGTGTAATGAGAATTCCCATTTCAGTGACTGAGGGGTTTTCCCTTTGCTCCCCATCACTAATTATGTTTTCTTCCCCTATTTTTGTAGCTGATGAAGAAGCCCCAGATTATGGATCTGGTATCAGACAGTCTGGCACAGCTAAAATTTCCTTTGACAACGAGTACTTTGACAAGGTAAGAAGCCTTAGAATAGAGTTGGTATCTTTGAATGTAGTAGCTTGTGCTTCTAAACAAAGAACCTGTGTTGTAGGAGAAGGAGAAACTGCAGGAGTTTGTTACAAGCCAATTAATTTAATTTAATTTTTCAGAGTGATTTTTCTTCGGTTGCAATGACTCGGTCTGGGCTGTCACTGGAGGAATTGAGAATTGTGGAAGGGCAAGGACAGACATCAGAGGTCACCACTCCTCCAGAGGAGATCAACAGAATGAATGAGCTGGGTGAGCAAGAAATGTGGGGTAGTTTGGGAGAAGTTGAGGGAAATGTAGGGGGGTCTGAGTGTCCTTCAAAATATGATAGTTGGGGAGAGGTGAAACCTGTGGGTGGCATGTGAGAGATCCTGGAATTATTCATTTGGAGAACTGTCCTGAAAAACATAGCATGGGTGTTTGGATCTTTTGGTTATCAGCAAATTATTTGGGTTCAAAAGAAAAAAAAAAAAAGTTTGATGGGACTAAGCTGTTTCTGAAGAAATAATTTAAGAAAAGAGAGGGGCAGGGGGGTGGAAAGAAAAAAGTGATTTCATGCCGGTTGTTTGTGTGTCCCTAAGACTTGAAGTCAGCCACTTTGGATGGGAAGATGACTCTGGAAGGATTCACTGAGGAGATTGGGGACCACCTGAAGCTGGGCAGTGTGTTCACCTTCCGGGTGACAGTGCTCCAGGCCAGTGGCATCCTGCCTGAATATGCAGATATCTTCTGCCAGTTCAAGTAAGAGTTTGTCCTTCTTTCCAATTAATGGTTTGATAGAGCAAAGAACAGTGGAGGGTCTGATGGAGAGCTTTTCACAGTACCTTGGGGGCCACTGGATTCCCTGGTCCCTGCTTTGTGTTAGCAGGAATAAAGTTGTGCAGAAAGGAATTAGGAATCAAAGTGGACTCTTAAATTAGTAGTTTATAGATATCTTAAGGTGTTAAATTGAATTCAATACTAGATGGTACATAAGCCTGACTGGAATGAAAGCTGCATGACCCTTGAATAAATCAGTAACTCAGCAGTGAAAAGTGTTCTTTGGCTTCTGTTCTTGAGAAAGAGAATAAAAAATGGCAATAATAAAACCATAAAACAAGTACAGGAACAAGTTCTACAACACTAGGCTATTCCCAGCTTTAGGCCATCACTCAGCTCCCTCCAAAGTTCCAGCCAAATAAATTTATTTTAGGATTTTAAGGTCTCCTTTCAGAGTTGGGTTCGTTAAAGCACTCTGTGGTTGCTGACTTTGGGTTGATTTTCTCTTTTTGCAAAGCTTTTTGCATCGGCACGATGAAGCTTTCTCCACAGAACCTCTCAAAAACAACGGCAGAGGGACTCCCCTGGGCTTCTACCACGTCCAGAATGTGAGTAAAGCTTTGCACAAATAGTGATTAAGAGTTGTTAAGAGCAGACACCAAGAGGAGTGATCAGGGGGGTGAAACCAAAACACAGAATGATTCTGTGGGGCAGATTTAACTCTTCTCTTTCACCTCTGCTTCCTGCCATTGAAATCCCAGTTTCCTTTCCAGGGTGTACAATGGGAACAGTCTGGAGTTCAGGAAATAAAACATATGTGTGAATAGCAGTGCCCATCATCTCAGATGGACTGAATACAGCTGTTTTTATGAGATGTGTAATCCTTTGGTTACGTGCAACCTCCTCTTCTCCCATTTGAAGTGCCTGATACTGGGGCTTTCATTTTCTCCTTTATCAGAGAGTGGAATTAATGCCTAAACCAAAAAGGAATGCAGGTGCTTTTATTGTGAGTGAGGCTAACTGGTATGAGAAGTATTTCCTTTCTGAATGCCTCATTTTCTTCCCTCACAGATTGCCGTGGAAGTGACGGAATCCTTCGTGGAGTACATCAAAACAAAGCCTATTGTCTTTGAGGTCTTTGGGCATTACCAGCAGCATCCTCTCCACCTGCAAGGGCAGGACCTCAACAGGTAGTAGTGGTCGCTGTTGTGGCACAGAGGCAGTTTGGGATCATGCTCAGGGTAGCTCTGCAGTTTTCCATGCTCCTGGAATTACCCAGCCACACCCTGGCAAGCAGAATTCCTGATGGAAGTGACAGTGAGTGAGAGAGACCCAGCGTGGTGATGGATGGAATTGTTCTACCCTCTCAAACGCTGTTCTGCCAATCCATCTGCATCCACCACCCTTCCTGGTGGTGGAATGTTGTAGTGGGAGCCCCAGCCATGATCTGTGAGCTCTGGGAAAACCTTCACAAGGGTTCCAGGGTCGTTGTTCCCTCAGGGCAGGTGGCCTCATGCCGAAGGGTAGGATGACAAAAGGAGGAGAGATGAGAGTGGGGGAAAACAAAAGGTTCTCAACCCTTTGACAAGTTACTACCAAAGCTGCCAAGCATTTGAGTTTTTGGAGGTCCCCTGTTCATCCTTGTCTTCAGAGCTTAAGGGAGGAGCCTTGAAGAGGCTGATTTTTAGAGGAAATCCAGCTGAGGCTGGTTCCTTTTCCTAAAGTTATTTTGGGAAATGCTTGTTACCTGTTTAACTTTTCAGTGCAGAACTGGGGTAGAGCTGTTGGAAGTTGTAATTTCTTGTAATTTATTATTTTACTGACATCTAGGATTGGTGAGGTTAAAATAGAAAAAGGACCTGAGTTAGTGGGCTGAGTCCACTTCTTTTCCTGACACGTGGTATTTACCTGTCTTCAGAGAATTGTGAGGGCATTTTTAGAGACAAAAATGGGTGTATATGTACAAAATGCAGGTGTGTATGTTTAAATAAAACATATTTTTCGTGTTATCTGCCTCAATACTGACCATTCTTTCTATTTCTCTGTAGCCCTCCACAGCCTTCCCGGAGATTCTTTCCTCCCCCCATGCCACTGTCAAAGCCAGGTGAGAGCAGCTCTCTGATCTGCACAGCACAGTCTGCTCCTGACTGTGGAGGTTGGGGTGTGTTCCTGAGGTACCCAGGACACCAAGAGGTGTAGTGGAGAGAGAGTTGTGAAGGGCACTGAATCTGCCTTGGGCGGTTCTCTTCCTTTTTATGGGTTTTATTTTCATTTCTCTTCAGCCCCCTCAGCAGGAAGTGCTGCTGGGTTGGTTAAAGGGTAGAATTCCATTCCTGAGGTGTTGACCATATTCCATGAGATGTGGCTGTGGCTCTCCCTGTGCTTACTGAGCACCTGACTGCAAATCTGCTTATTCATTAACCACCTCATTTTTTGCTCCCTCACATTCTCATGCAGCCAGTCAGTGTTGTTGAAATGATCCTTGCTTTCCTTTGCCTAACTGGATTAATGCATGCTCAACTCTCTTGTGATTTTTTGTTTCCCCCCCACCCCCATTTCACCTTTTAATTTTCCTCCTTCTCTGTGTTTCTCTCACCTCCATATTTCTACCATCCTTTTGTTTGTTTGTTTGTTTGTTTGTTTGTTTTGGTGTCTGTGTGTGTGTGTTCCATTCCCTCTGCAGACCATGAAAGGAAAATTGAGTTGATTAGGTATCTCATGTCTGGCTATGTGAACGTGCATGTGCTGAACACGCTGTCCGAGCATGCCAACGTTCTGGCCTCCTCTGCTGTGGCTGCTTTCCAGGATGGAGCTGACCAGCTGCCACCTTTTCTCTTTCTGCCTGTCCCCAGTTGTCAGAGTGAGCGGGCTCCCAAACGAGATGGTTAGTAGCCACCCTTCAGCCCTGGTAGATGTAGAAGTAGTTCCAAAATGTGCTTCAAAATTCCTTTTTTTTGTCCTTATCATATCCTTATTCTTAGGAATAGAGGCTGCCATGGGTGTGGTCGTGGAAGGATGATGCTCTGCTGAAGTTTAGGGCTATTTTAGGGAGAACCATGTAGACATTTTAGAGAGAACCTTATAAATAACCTGTAGACTCCAATGTGCTGGGAGTCACAGATTTTTTTTTTTCTGTGGCACTGCATCTATTCCCTGAAATTTCCCAGAGCTCTGATTTTTATTGTGTTTTGCATACAGTGTTGTGATCCTGGGATGAGAGATGCAAATGAAAACACAGCCAGCTGTAGAGGCAACACTCTGCTGTGTTCTGTACAGCTTTCCTTTTTGCTCATCTTCCTTTTCTGCCACTAACAGTGCTGTTCCTCACTTCCATTGTGTTCTGTTTTATTAAAATCAAAAGGTGGCATGCTGGCTATTAACAGCAAGTCTGTGAGAACATCTAAACCAGCTTTCATGTTCAGTTCAATGTGTCTTTTCTGTTGTTTTTTTCCTCTTCTGGTGCTTTTGAGTTTTCTCTGCTCAGCAATAAGCTGGGGTGCCCTGAGTGGTGGATGTTGCTCCTGCTGTCAGCAGTTGTGATGAGTCCTTGTACAGCTGGATATGATGGGTCCAACAGGGTTACTGCCCCCAGGAATGTGTGAGCAGGGTAAATGATGAGCCTCAGTGTTGGAGCTGTGCCGGGAATAACTCGTACAATCTGTCCCTCTGAGGGAGCTGCTCTTTTACCCCTAAAATACACAGAATTTAGGAGACCTCACAGGGCACACCTGGAAGGACCTTTTCTTACCTGGGGACCTTTATGCCCTTCCAGTGCTTGGGAAATTTAATCCTGGGGGATGTGGAAGGATACCCAGAGGGGTGAAGGTGGGAGAACCTAAAGAACACCTGAGCAAGGGAAGAATGGGGATTGGGAGGCTAGAGGGGAGAATAGTTACTTGGCTTCATAAAAACAGCAAGGTTAGGATGTGAAAGGAGAAAAAATGGACAATCAGTTGCAGGGTTACAAAAATCCCTGTCAGACTGCAGAGGAACTGAGCTTTTTAAAGTGTTCCCATTTACAAACATGCAACGAGTTAACAGAGAAGTCAAGTAATGATAACTAAAAGGTGTGATGTGAGTGTGTGAGAGGGAGAATCAGGTTATTCCCAGAATTTCAGATATCCCATTATTTTTTCACATGGTTTATCCCTACATTTGTATGAAGGGAGTTAGAGAGGATCTGGCCAGTAATAATCACTAATACCAAGAGATAAGGAGCTCAGAAATGCTTTGGCAGGATTAAGGCTCTGGAGTAAGTCTTGTTCAGCCCTTTTACATGTGCAATATCTTATCCAAGTGGGGCAGGAGTCTGGCAGTTTGTGGCATCAAGAAGTGAAGTCTTAAGCTCTGTATTTTTCCTCTTACATGGGGAAGGGGAAATGTGCTTTTTGAGTGAGTGATGCTGCAGATGAACAGACCCAAGCAATTCTAAACCACAAACTGTGATGCACATTAGAGGAATCTTCTTTTCTGTGGATCTAGAGAGGCTGAGCATTTATCCAAGCCCTCTGGATACACTTTAGTTTCATTATTTAACCTTTTTTTTAATTCTAGTAATCTAGATTTAAAAAACAATAACCGTTGCTGTAAGCACCATCATTTTCGTGCAGAAATCTCTGCTCTACCTGTGTCCATAGATTAAGTAGGATCACTGAAATGGCCCATTCCTGTGAGCCCTGAGCAAGCTTTACTTGTTCACTCTTGGTAAACCAATATTTTTTCCTTCTTTCTCCTTTTTTGTGCCTTGAAGTGCCAGCCACAAAGCTGAACACCCTGAGCAAACCCAGCCTGGGCCAGAGTGTGAGCAAATACGACCTGCTGGTGTGGTTTGAGATCAGCGAACTGGAGCCAACGGGGGAGTAAGTCCTGGATTAATATTTTGTGTTTCAAGAGCAGTGCTTTATGGGAATTTTGGGGTTTTCCCCCCCACACCTTTGTTGTGTTCAGACCAGGCTCATTTTTAGCAGTTGTCTTTGGCTGGTTTGTAGTGATGGGGTGTAATTACTTCTGGCATTAGTTGTCCCCATTGGAAAGGAGCGAAGACACAGAAAAAACATCCTTTCACCCCCTTGGAAAGGATTTAAGAGATAAAATGACATTCCTTCACACTTGAAGTGATCCTTCACTGAGAGCTCCACGCACACCAGCTGAACAGGCACTGGGAAAACTCACCTTGTGTGGGCCACGAGTCTCAATTCTTTGGGCCAGCAGAGACTTTGTGCTCCAGAAGTCATCGAGCAGGTCCTGTTCTGTGCTCATCTCTGATACAAAGAAGGTTTCCCCCTGGTAGGTGTTTAGGTTCTTTATTCCACAGAGTTTTCCAGAAGTACTGGAAGTACAATATAAAGTACTTCTGTATTTCACTGATCCTGTAGTGCCATAAAGGAGCCCCGAGGAGTCTGAGAGTAGGAGCCATGAGTAATCTGAGAGTAGGTACAAAGAAACACTCTTTGTCTTCAGATGTCCTATGGTGAGGTAACTGTTGGCAGCAGGAGTTGCTTTGCTGGTCCCTCTTTCCTGCTGTTGATTCCACTGTCTCCCCCAGGTACATCCCTGCCATCGTGGATCACACTGGGGGCCTGCCCTGCCAGGGGACCTTCCTGCTGCACCAGGTACTGATAAAAGCTGTGCAACAGCAGCTTTCACCTCTGCAGGGGGTTCCAGAATGCTGATGAGTGGGTTTTGCATCTTTCCTGTCCTGCTTTCCCAGCCAGCTGTGCTCATCACTATCTTGGAGAGCACAACAATTTCAGGGCTATTTTAGGTTAAAAAACCTCTTCCTTTGTGGAGTGAGGAGAGAGAACGAGTTCATTTCTGTTGCCTATGAGAATATAACATCCCTTTGAGGTTAATTTTAGGGCCCTGAAACACAGAGGTGCTTGTTCAGTTACAGACTAGTTTAAATGATCTTATTTGCTTTACTTTTGCAGAACAGATGTGTGTGTGTGTGTGTAAATGCCTCACCAGTGTTCTGGTTTTGAACTCCCCCAGGGAATCCAGCGGAGAATCACAGTCACCATTATCCATGAGAAGGGCAGTGAGCTGCACTGGAAAGATGTGAGGGAGCTGGTTGTTGGTGAGTAAACTCTTTTCACGCCTTGCCCTGTAAGGAAGCAAAACTATCAGTGGTAATTCCCTCTTTGTACCAGATTCTGTCATTTTTATGAGCATTGCCTGAGAGAGGAGGATTTTTAAGAAGATCCAGAGTTAAAACTCAAGTTTTGCATCTTCCAGTTGTTAATCACGTGGTCTGAAATGGTATTTGGGAAAACAAATTCCTGTTGTGTTGCAGGTTGAGTTTGAATTGATTCCTCTCCCTCCCCATTTCAGGGCGTATAAGAAACAAAGCAGAGGTGGATGAGGCTGCTGTGGATGCCATTCTGTCTTTGAATATTATCTCTGCAAAATACCTGAAGTCCTCTCACAGCTCCAACAGGTAAGGGACTAAAGTGAGCACTTCAGCAGGAATCTGAAATGTGTTTGACTCCTGAGGTATTGGCAGGGTGTTTGGGAAGCTGGGAATGTGGCTAATTATTAAATGTAGCATTCCATGGGCATGGGGCAGGCAGATGGAGAATGAACATCACCAGAACTTCTTACTGCTGCTCAAACCTGTTGATCTACCTGAAGGATTTGTTGATGGTGCATCTGAATTACTTTCCATGTGTAAGGACCCTAAAGGCAGGATGGAAAGGAACAGCTTCAGGGAGTCTCAAGATTTAACCCAGAACTTTTAAACTGACATCAAGGTTTGGTGCTAGAGCACAGCACTGAAGTACAAGGACAATTTTGGGAGATGCATTTACAGATGTGGACATACCTATATCCTGGAACAAGCATGTGACAGTCGAAGAGAGAGCCACGCTTTGTAAATTCACAATTTGTGGGTTTCTAGGGGTGTCTCACGAATGGACTCCTGTCCCATGTCCCCTGTGGGCAGCAGCAGGGTGGGCTCAGGGCTTTCTGCCTCTGGGTGTCCCTCATTTGGGTGCATTTGCTGTAAAGCTCAGGCTGCACGTTGCTCTGCTTCGGTATGTGCAGCAAAGGGCAGCGAGGCAGAGTGTGGGACTGGGCACAGCCTCTCCCTCCTGACACCAGCCCGTCACTGGGCCACTCCCTGGCTCTGCTCAGCTGGTGCAAAGCAGGAATAACTCTGGAGTGGAGCTCTGAGTGAGTTTCCAGAGGGGAGGGGGGTTTGGGGCCCATCTCTGCTGCAGCTGCTGGGTGTGGAGTCGGGATCCTCCGAGGCACTGAAATGGCTTCTTCCTTCTCCGTTAGAGACCTGCACTTTGCTGCACCACTGCAGCACTGCAGGTGGGTTTGGGATGCTGCTCCTGCCCATGGGATATCTCTGCCACCTGGTGTCTGTAAAGGCAGGCAGGGACAGGGGCTTCAGCAGCTCCTCCCTGTCTCCCACTGTGAAGTGGATATTTTCATGTGCCTGAGTTAATGGATCAGTATAACTGGAACATGGGGCCACTGTTGCTGGTTTCCAGTCTGACACTGCTGGCTTTGCAGCTGGAAAGTCCTGTGCTTTCTGTTCTCTGGCAATTTCAGTAAATTCCTGTACAGCTCCACAGTTCCCCCTGAGGTGGGTCACTCGGGTGGAGGATGAGTGTGATGAAGCTGTTGACCACCTCTTCCCATAATGCCAAGGTTTAAGTTGTGGGATGAGTGCATGGCAGTGCTGGAGTGGGACTGAGGCCCTGGTAAGGGATATGTCTTATGTTTGCTCATTGTCTGCAGACCATTTTCTGCTTCCCGTGGGGGTTTTTTTGCTTTGTTTTGTTTTTTAAGTCCACATGTTCTGTTCCTCTCAGCTGTTGCTTTTCTGTTCTGCTTTTGGCTGCACTAACCGAAGCTCTTTCTATATTTTTACAGGCTCTTTCTTGATAAGGATATGCCTAGGTATTTTCTGTTTGCTTCCTTTGTGCATAAAGATTCTTGAAAAGAGAATGCTTTATGTCCTGGTTGTATTGCTGCCACCTCCCTCTTAGTTTTTATGGAATTCCATTAGGACACCTCTTAGCTCTTCCAGAACTGGTATTCCTCCTCCTGCTTTGTGTCAGGGGTTTATTCAGGTACAGTTCACTGGGGGACTTGTGAAGGTGAATTTTCCTTCACATGCAAGAGAACTTCCTTCTGTCTTCCTGATTCTCTAAATGTACCATCAAATATAGCCCCTATTTGTAGTCCTTGCTATTTTCTTCCTTTGTTCTGTTTCAAAGAACTAAATTGGGAACTTCTCACTGTCTCAGCCTCTGTAATGTGTTTGAAGTACCAAGCCAAGGACTGAATGATTGAATGGTTACTTGAAATTCCAGCTCAGGATTGCACTGAACAAAAAGCAGTGGCTGCCATGTGAGGGCCATTCAGCCTCTGTTCTGGGGCTGGATTTGCATCTGAAATTTAACCACGTGGTTGCTGCTCCTTAACTTACCAGCTGGCAGAGGAGCTGCTCAGACTGGGTTCCCATTCCCCCTTCCAGGTGGGATCACAGGCAGGGGATTCCAGGCATGGCTGTGCAGGGGGGGTCAGTTTGCACTCTGCTGTCTGTGCTCTGCCTCTGTGCCTTCAATGCTCTCGATTCCCCACCTTTCACCAACACTAAAATCCACTTGAGAGTCAGTTCTAACTACACATCTAACCAGTTTCTCCTGTTTTCTGTGCTTTGCTTGTCCTGTGCTCCCCGTGCTGTTGGCTCTGCTGAAAGGAGTTTGCTCTTTGTCTGCTTTTTGTCTCCCTGTGTAACTCTTGTAGCACGTCCTGGTTTGGGCAGGCCAGGCTGTGGATAAGGAACTTCCTGGCTGGACAAAACCCACTACAAAAACTGCCTCAGAGCTGTGCTTGGCTTCAGCTTGGTGTTTGTCCAGAGCCCATTGTTCCTGAAGATGGTGGTGGTGGTTGTGCCCCGATGAACACTCACCCCTGTGTTCTCTCCCTGCGATGAGAAATCACTTTTGGCAGATGGTGCAGAGCTGGGGCAGGGGCTCCAGACACTGGTTTTCCCACGTGTGAGAACCAGGTTTTACTACTTTCTTTCCCACCCCAACAGTAGATCTGGAACTTGCTTAAAGTTTAAAAAATTGCTGTCTTAACTAAGTCATGATGAAAGCTTAAAACAGAAGATTCAACACAGATGTGTGAAGGGTTAGAGAGCCAGTGCTGTTTGCCTAATCCAACTCCAGAAAGGATTATTACTTGACAGTGCTTTTAAAGTTACCAATTACTTGGCCTTTAGGATATGCTGCTCTGTGCCATTTTTAACAGAAACAAGATGTTTAGAAGTCATTTCCTAAGTATGCTACTTCAGATGCAAACAGTATTTAGCAGTGTTCTCGCTGGACTGCACAGTTGATGGTGTCTCCAGTTTGGAATTGTTTAATTGGTATCAGGAAAAGGGGATTCTTGGGAGCTCTGTTTGAGGTCAGAACTCTCTGTTTCTGATGTCTGCTCTTGGGCTGTTTCATGTTTCTTTTTGGTTTGCTTTGTGTTTTGTTATTTCTTCCATCCCCACCCTGCTTTTTGTCCTTTGTCTTTAGTTGCATTTTCTGTTTTTCTGAGTTGGCCTTGGGCATTAGTGCAGAAACTTTTTAGAGATAGAACTTTTCTTGCTTTTAGTACCACATTGTTTGGACTCAAAACGGGATGAAAAACCTCAACAGCAAGGGGGTTTGGGAGGGGAATCTCTAAGGGTGATGAAGAATTAACACCTTGTGTTTCTGTTGCCAGTGTGGAAAGGCATGCTGACCTCCTGGAGAAGGGTACAGCTCTTCTTTCCAAAGGGACCTGCCTGAAATCAGTCTGTGCCTGTGAGAAAGGAGAAAGCTCATTTCCCTAAGGCCCTGCTAGAGAGGAGGGTGTGATGATCCTCTGGGTCTGGTGATTTAGCCGGGCTGTGTCCGATGCTGTCTCTCACTTCTGACTTGACCAGAAGAACTTTCCTGGTTGCTGGGGTAGAGCTGGGGGAGCCTTCAGCTCCTTCCTTTCCACATACCCAACTGCAGAAACTGCTGTGAGAAGTTTGTGTTAGAGCTGCAAGTTTTTCCCTGAAGCTGTTAGAGCATAGAAAGAAATATTTATCACTGGAATATAGGACTGACCCCATCCATCAGGCACCCTGATTTGCTGTCAGAAGCTGCTGGTTTTGTAAGACTGAGTATTAGAAGGATCTCTTCTGTTGCTATCTCTTAGTCCTAAAATAGAGTGTAGGATGAGAGTTGGTTATAAAAAAGGATCTTCCCATGCACTGGGCTGAGTTGCACCTGGAGCAATAGAGGTGAATTCTGCCTGTTTAGAAACACTGTTCTTTAGTGCTGGCCTCTCTGTAGTGCTGTGACAGCTTTTGTTCTCTTCTGCATTGCCTCTTTTCTCTTTTAGGTGAGTCATTTTCATAACAGGCAAAATACCATTTGAGGTAGAAGTAAAAAATCTTGGAAAAGTTGAGGTTTTTGCTTGCAGTGTTTGTTCTCTAAGTCACTGAGAGCCATAGTGGATGGTGGCAGGGAAGAGCTGCTTCACACTGAGCAATGAGAGGGATGCAGAGGAACTTTTACTATCGAGCTTTTTACTTTTTTCCAGGACTTTCTACCGGTTTGAAGCAGTTTGGGACAGTTCCTTGCACAACTCCCTCCTCCTCAACCGAGTGACCCCGTATGGAGAGAAGATCTACATGACCCTCTCTGCTTACCTGGAGGTGAGACCCCTGTGCCTTCCTTTGGCTTGTGGCTCAGCAGAACCGTTTGAGGCAGTGTGTACCTGAGATAAACACTGACTGGGCTCAGTGATTTCAGTCCTGAAGCCAATCCAAGTGTTTATTTGTTTTCTGAGAACAGGGTGGAAAGATTCACTCACAGTTAACGCCTTAATGTCAGGGTATTCCTGCCTGGCAGCACAGGTGAAGTGAAACTGCTGATCTCTGTGCCTGCCTCCTTCTGTCCATCTTTGTACCTGAAAATCCACTGAGATCACTGAAAGTTGCAGTGGAGGTACTGCTGGTGTTCCAAACACTGGCTTTGTGTGCAAGATGCTGCTGCTTTGTGCGGTGCAATTATTCCACCCACGAGACGCGTCAAGGAGCTTGACGGCTTTCTGCACCGACCACCCCGACAAGAACAACTTCCCCAAGCTGTCCCAGGGCAGCAGAGCAGCTTGGCCCAGCTGTCTGCAGCTGCTCACCCAGTGCTGCTTTCCCTCTTAGCTGGACCACTGCATCCAGCCCGCAGTCATCACCAAGGACGTGTGCATGGTGTTCTACTCCAGGGACGCCAAGATCTCCCCGCCCCGCTCGCTGCGCAACCTCTTCGGCAGCGGCTACTCCAAATCCCCCGACTCGTGAGTTCAGCTGCCAGTTTTGGCACCGAGATTTCCTGTCAATATGTGCTTTTTTTCTCTTAGAAAAGGGCATGGGGGAGGACGTAGCTTATTTTTTGTTTTTTCTTTGAAACTATACCCGGTCGTGGGTTCTCCAGTCTGGTTTTGAATGTTCTTTCTTGCCTTTATTCCAGTGAAACTCTGATGGTTTCTCTCTTTACTGACCTCTTTTCCAGACTGACAGTTGGGAAGAGAGTTCCATTTTCCAAGCTTGCACATAGATGGTGCTGATCCTGACCTGGAATTTACTGCAGCAGCTGCTCTCCAAGTCCAGTGCAGGGTGGGGGGTAACATGGGGGAAATACCATTTTTAGAGATCTTGAAGTCTGCCCTGTTTGTTTTATGCAACATTACAATTCAGGTCTAGTTCTAACTAACAACTCTTCTTAAACTTCTACTTTGGGGCCCACTGCACTAAAGCTGATGCACTTTCTTTCTGAAGATAACAGTGTTTTTGTTTTCTTCTGCTTTCCTGTGAACAGCAACCGAGTCACGGGGATCTACGAACTGAGTTTATGCAAAATGGCAGACACGGGCAGTCCAGGTGAGCAGCCACTGCGTGTGCAAGTGATAAATACGAAACAGCGCAGAAAATGTCATGGGCAGAGCAGAGTGAACAGTTCTGTCCTGATGGGAAGCAGTTCCCGTGTTTCACAGGAGAAAGGGGACATTCTGTTACTTCAGGCTCAGGTCTGTATTTACCACTGGTGAATGAGGATTCACTGAGAACTTGACATCTCTGACATCTCAGGAAACTGGGCATGTACCAGAGTCTTAGACTTAGGGGCATGATACAAAACTCATCACTGACAGTGGAGATGGGTTTGGCAGCAACAGAGTTTTCTCTTGGCCTTTTGAGGGGGATGGAAGCAATGTAGGTCAGGTAGTATCAGTGTATTTTTCTTCTAAGATGTGGCAGTTGAAGTCCTCGTGTTGAATTAAACAGACCAGCAGTTTGCAAATATCTGAATGAAGTAAGAAAGCTGCACTAAATCAGGTGTCTTTGGAATGTGTAATTGCAGGCAATGAAATCCTTGCCTTGTGTATTCCCAGCCAAACAGCAGAGTTGTTGGCTCTTCACAGACTGCTGATTGTTTCTTAGTGACTTCCCTCTGGCTGTGGTTTTAACGTGTCTCCTGTTGGTTTCTTGCTGCTCAGGAATGCAGAGGAGGAGGAGGAAAGTCCTGGATACATCTGTGGCATATGTGAGGGGAGAAGAGAACCTGGCAGGCTGGAGGCCCAGGGGTGACAGCCTCATCCTGGAGCATCAGTGGGAACTGGAGAAACTGGAGCTGCTGCATGAGGTGAGTAAAGAGATCAAAGTCAAGGTTTAAATGAATTCTCCCAACAGGGAAGATACTCAGTGTGTGGCTTCTGCTGAGTGGAACCTTCAGCTCAGAATCCCAGTGTATTCAGCAAAGGCAGATTCAGTTTCTAGTGCCATTGTAAACTCCTTTCCCTGGGGAAAATGTTCACTGCCCTGAATCTAAAGAATGCCTGAGAGTTCAGTGTCTGTAGAACAGCCTGTCCTGGACAGACGATACTGATTTCTCCTCTCCCCAGGTGGAAAAAACCCGGCATTTCCTTCTGCTGCGTGAAAAGCTCGGTGACAGCATCCCCAAGTCCCTGAGTGACTCGCTGTCCCCCAGCCTGAGCAGTGGCACCCTCAGCACCTCCACCAGCATCTCCTCCCAGATCTCCACCACGACCTTCGAGAGCTCCGTGACGCCCAGCGAGAGCAGCGGCTACGACTCGGCCGACATCGAGAGCCTGGTGGACAGGGAGAAGGAGCTGGCCACCAAGGTGGGGCAGGGCAGGGGCCTCCTGGGGCACAGCTGGGCTGCCAGAGGTGGTTAAAGATTAATGACGAGCTTCTCAGATAGCACGGTGAATGCCCAGCGTTGTGAGGGTTTCATTTTAATGTGTTGTCCGGTGAAACCATCGGTTCACACCACAGAACCACAGTAGGTTTGTTCTGTGGCTGTTCACTCACCTCACCCCCCTTCATTAATAGTTCTGTAAGTGAAACTTCCTAATTTTATCAAGAGATTATTCCCCTCTCCCTCTGGGATTTTTCACAGCAGTTTAACAGTTTGTTTATTGTATTCTGTTTATTGCCTCTCGTGTTCAGATTTCCCCGAAAATCTAAATGTAAAATTCTCTTTCTGTCTCTCGTTTGTTTTTCCCCCCTCTTCAGTGTCTGCAGCTCCTAACTCACACTTTCAATCGGGAATTCAACCAGGTGTACAACAGCATCAGTGATTGTAAGGTAAATATTCCGTACACAGTATTTGTAGTACAATAGCAACAGATTTGTGGCTCGTGGAATCTGCTGATACTGTGGAAAAATAAACCACTTTATATTAATTTCATTAATTTTTATTTTCAGTCTGTTGGAAGTATTTGGCTGTTCAGCATCAGGTTCTGATGCAAAGAGCATTGCAGGAACTGGAGGTGGGGTGGGCTTGGACTGTAGTACATCTTCCAGTTTATCAGCAGACTGGAAGTGCTCTTCCTGTCTTTCCCTCCATACACTTTCCTGATGGAAGAGGATAAACTGACTCTTTAAAATTCTGCCTGTAGGCACAGGGAACCCCAAGTTGCAGACTGGATAGTGTCATGTTCCACTGAGGAAGTCAGGCTGTGAATAATCAGAGGTGCAGGACATGATAACAAGCTCTGTCTGCACAAGTTGCCTTGTATTTTATTTATTTATTTATTTATTTATTTATTTATTTATGTTGTGTGCAAAAATGTGGCTGCTGAGTAGGGGAATGGCTGATGGCAATAGCTTTGTGTTGTGTGAGCTGAGTGTTGAGGCAGGGCTGAGCCCCAGCTGCAAAGCCAGCTCTGTAACCCCTTGTCCCTGGCTTTGTCCCTGCAGCTGTCGGATATTTCTCCCATCGGGCGGGACCCGTCCGTGTCCAGTTTCAGCAGTGCAACCCTCACCCCTTCATCTACCTGCCCTTCTCTGGTGGATTCCAGATGCAACTCGATTGATCAGAAGTAAGTGTCGTGCATTAACAGGAAAACATTACTTTTCAGTGCTTCACAAACCTCTTGGCTGTGTTTTCTGATTTTTGTTTTCCTCTTTTCTTCCTTGTCCCTACTTTGAACTATTTCTCTCTCCAGCCCCCTTGCCTTACTCCTCCAGTCCCTCTGCACAGTTAATTTTCCCCATTTTGAAGTGGTTTTTTCCTCTTTGTGCTGGAGAAACACTCAGATGCTTGTCATTCCAGTGACCAGTGCATCTGCAGAATCCACAAGTTGTTTCAGAGGCCTGTTACAAAGGTCTACTAATAACAACCCAAATAAACCAGTTTGGCCACTAATCTCTGTTTATCTTTCTCAGCTGTATCTGTAGCAGATATTTTTGATTGAATTTGGAATAACAGTTTAGTGAAATTACATGTAATTTGTACCTTCTCAGCATAACATCCCTGAGGGGAGGAGTGCTGATGAAGTACAGTTTACATCAGAGATGTGTGTCTGTGTTGTGACTGTGTTTATCAGCAGAAACGAGGCAAAAGTGGTGGGGAAACAACTTACTGGCAGTTATTATAAGTTTCATTCCACAGATATCAGGGAAAAATGCTATTTGATGTTGTGCAAAAGGATCCCAATGCCTGGGCTGGAGGATGAAACTCCTAAAGCAGGCTGGGCTGTAGATGCACTTAAAATTCCATTGTCACATTCAGTTGCTTTGCTGGGATTTACTTTTCCTTCTCCACTTTTCTATTAAAAGGACACCAGAAGCAAATTCTCGTGCCTCCAGTCCCTGTCATGAGGTGGAACAGTTCCAGATAATTCCTGCAGTAGAAAGTTCCTATCTTGCCAGAGCTGGAAAGAATGAGTTCCTAAACCTCGTTCCTGATATTGAGGAAATCAGGCCAGGGTAAGTTTTTTTTATTGGTTGAAGTTCACTGAGAGATCTGGAGGGTCCTTCTTTTGAAGACACAGTTCAGGTTGTCACAGCAGAGCTTTCCAGAATGCTGCTGCAGACAAAGCATGTTAAAGGCCAAGTGTCTTGCCTAGTGTTTTGCAGTTAATGGGGATACTCAATAGGTGCCTAAAGCAGGGAAAAATCTCTTCCTGTTAATGTGTGGGTTTTTTTTTCCCCAGCTCTGTGGTGTCCAAGAAAGGATACCTCCACTTCAAGGAGCCCCTCTCCACCTCCTGGGCCAAGCACTTCGTGGTGGTTCGCCGGCCCTACGTTTTTATTTACAACAGTGACAAAGATCCTGTAGAAAGAGGAATCATAAACTTATCCACAGCCCAGGTGGAATACAGTGAGGATCAGCAGGCAATGGTAAAGGTCAGTCTGAGAGCTGCTTGCTGTTTGTTTGCCCACAAAGCAGGAACATCCCAGGCAGTAGTGGATCCGTAACGTCAGGTGTGTCATCTCTGGTCCAAGCAGAATGCAGCTGGGAGGATGTCTGGGATCTGATGATTCTGCCCACAAAGTTCCCAGTTTGTTTAGGGTTTCTTGTGTTTTGGACACAGCCAGAGACTGAACCTGACTGCTCTTACACACCAGATCAGCTTTTAGGGGCTGTGTTGGTGCCATCACCCTGTGTTTGGATTTTGCAGCTTCCTTTGTGTGGTGTTCTGGGGTTGTGTGTTTTGTTTACTTAAAGAAAAACCCCACAAAAACCCCCACACAAACATCCTGCAAGGAATCAAATGAACTTCACTGCTCCATCAAAGTCCACACTCATGAGTTAAAACAATATTTTGTAGAATTTCAGGACTAATAATATTCTGCAAATGACCAGTGAAACGTAAATGAAAGCCCTCAGGTCTTGGGGGGGTTTAGGAACGTGGCAGAGGGGAATCGTGCCTCAGCTTCTGTGCTTTTAGACCTCAGCATTTTCAATTGTTTTCCACCTTCCAGACACCCAACACCTTTGGGGTGTGCACAAAGCACCGTGGGGTCCTGCTGCAGGCCATCAACGACAAGGACATGAACGACTGGTTATACGCCTTCAATCCGCTCCTCGCTGGCACAATTCGGTGAGAGGAACCTCCTGGGCAGGGAGAGGGGCACACCAGGGGCAGCAGGGCAGGGAGAGGGGCACACCAGGAGCAGCAGGGCAGGGAGAGGGGCACACCAGGAGCAGCAGGGTCAGGCATGGAATTTGATCTTCTTCTCCTGAAGAATCTTCACAAGTTGAGGGAGCTGAAGGAGGGAGGAGGGGAGGCAGAAGGCGCCCCAGAACAATCAGAACACAAAGCACCCTGTACTGCAGGGACTGCAGGGGCTGCTGCTTTGGCCTGGGATGTTTTAACAGCCACACTCTGAACTTGTGTGGGATGCTGCAATGGCTTCCTTGCATTGCCATTTTACAGCTTTAGAAAGCCCCTGCCTGCCTCTGTGCATACAGGTCTGCACTGCCTTTTTGGGTGCTTGATGATGAGCTAAAGCAGAAATTCTCATTTCCTTCCCTTTTTCAAGCTTCTCTCCTCAGCCTTCCCATTAACACAGGTCCCAGGCAGCCCTGCTTGCTGGAGAGATCTTACCACATTGCAGTAACTCGCTCTGTCAGTAAGAAAAAATAAATTAAAAACTAAGCTGTCACAGCATCAAATAATTTCTGGACAGTGTAGCCCTTAAAAGATTCTGCCTCCCTTTAAAGGAGCACAGCAGAGGAGTGAGAATTTGTTCTCATTACAGCCCTGGATCTGGTTCACTTTCTTGACACAGGGAGCAAAGCAGGACTGTACAAAAAGACTTAAAAAGTTGGACAAACTGTGGGGAGGGAGGAAAAACTAAACTTCCAGCATTTACCAACTGCTTTTTTTCCCCTTCTTTCCTGTGCAGGTCAAAACTGGCTCGAAGGCGCACGGGCCAGATGAAGTACTGAGTCCATGTAATGTTCTCATCTGTCCCCCTGCCTCACTCCTGGTAGATAGTGTTACCTCTCATTTTCTCTTCGTGATTCTTGACAGTTTTCTCTTGTATGTAATCCTGTGGCTTAACATCCCCCACCTGCCCCACCACTCCTTCAGCACATTTTCTAGGTATTCTTAACCCTCCCTTTGTTTCTTTTCACCTGTACCAGAACTGTACTAGTAGCATGTGGCCAAACAAAAAAAGAAAGAAAAAAAAATCAAAAAAAAAAAAAAAAAAAAAAAAAAAAAAAAAAAAAAAAAAAAAAAAAAAAAAAAAAAAAAAGGAGTGATTATGCACGACTCGAAAAAGAAAAAAAAAATTATTTATTTTTTCTTATAACAGTTGTTTTTCCCATTTCAACTGACCTTTTGGTGTCCGTCCCACTGTCTGTTGTTGTCTGTCTGGACTGCTGCAGGGTTTTCATTCAATTTGGGACTTGGCAGTGGTCATTGGTTCCCTCAGGGCAAAGTTCCAATGCCAGGGAAAGATAAATTCTTCAATGTAGACATTACCCAGCCAGGAACTGCAACAGCTCCTCAGGCTTTCTGGATCCAGCCTCTGATTTCAACTCTGCTGAGAGCTGATATTGGACAAATCTATCTGGGCAAGACTGGATTTTGGACTTGTTGAGTTTCTGGGGTCCAACAGGCAAAGGGATGAGCTGGAGAAAGTTGGGGAACAAAGCAGGAAGGACTGGCCAGAAAAATCTGCCTCGAAGCTCCTGCTGTGGGGTTGCAGTGAACAGTGCTTGGCTTTGACTCTTCCCACCAACACTGCTCTGCCTGTGAGCTGAGGGGGCTGTGCTGATATGAGGAGGAATAGATCCCCTGGCTGCAATACCAGAGAAAATCCCCCAAATTCAGATGCTCAGCCTTGTGCTTGGCAGATGGAGAGTGTTCAGTGGGAAGTGTGGTTGTTCCCTGGAGCAGATCACAGAGGGCAGGTGCTGCTCCTGGTGCTGAGCTCTGCAGGAACAGTTCCCACCTCTCTGGGAAGGGGTTTAGGGCTGTCACTGGTGTGTCAGGGGTGGCTGCTCTGGGGGATCGTTCCAACAGGCCTGTTTGTGCATCCCTTACCCGTGAGGCTCAGGTGTCACCCCACCTGTCCACAGGGAGCATCCTCGGCCTAGGAAACACTTCCCAGGCACACCCAGCACTTGCAGTTTTCTCCAGGGAACTTTCAGTTCCCTTTGGAATAGCTGTCACGTGTCTCCTGATCTCTCTGCTGCAGTTTTCATCAGCTGAACCCCACTAGTTAATCTGAGCTTTGGAGTTAGTCCTTCCTGGGGGACAGATCAAGTGGATCCTGGTCCTGGTCACTGGAAGGTCATAATTGGCTTCTTGGACATCAGCTGGGTGCTGTCAGTTCCTGACAGACTGTTTTAAGTTCTCCTTGTGGCCAAAGCTTTGGCCTGTGCCCCAAGAAAGGAAAGCAGAAGGAATTTCCTCTCTCTGCCAGGTTTTCAGGGAGGTTTGGGGGGGTGTGTGTATGTTTTCCTGTGTTTCAGACTCCTGTGTTCTACTTCCTTGGGCACTGCCAGGGCTGTGATCCTGGGGAATGGGCAGGAATTTCATTTCCCTCTCAAGGGAGAGGTAAAAGGGGGTTGTTCCACTATTCCAGCAGGCACATCTGGGCACCCTCCAGCTCCGGAAGGTCGTTTGGATTCAGGTCCCGCCTCGGCCGTGCTTTAGGAATTCTGTGTGTGTGGGACTGGAATCCACTGAGCAAGATTTTGGCTTTGTGGGGTTCTCATTGTTCAGTCAAGGGCAATGCACAGGGAGAGCTCCCAAAGCACGGGAGGCAAAGGAGCAGGGAGAGGAGTGTGACACTTGCTAGGACACGTCCTTGTGACTCAGGAGAGTTCTCGAGCTAAATCACCCTCTCCTGCTGCCTCTGGGGGGCTCAGACTCGTTTCAGAACTGGAAGCCACAGTGAGGGAGCATCCTGGGGGCCCAGGAGCATGACAGGGATGGGTTTGTGCTTTGTGTTTCTTTTTTTTTATTTTATTTTACTATTTTTTCCCTGCTGTTTTTTGTCTCGTTTAACTGTGTGTGACTCTAAATACAGTGATGATATTCCTTTGTTATGCAATGATGATAAAGCACTTCCAGTGTGTGGGTAAAGACTCTTTGTCCTGCAGGAGGGCTCCTCACACTGGAGCTAAGCTGATCTCAAGAATTAGGTTAATTCTAAGCATTAAGTTATTGCTGCCATCACCACTGTTTCTGATGGGAGTGGAACCAGTTTGAGGAGGCAGAGTGATTTAGGTGGTGGTAGGTTGTGACCCACTGAGAGCATTTTAACTTTTATCTTTTTCGTTTTTGTTTTTGTTTGTTTTTTTTTTTTTTTAACTAGAAAAGGACTAGTTTGCTAAGTCTTTGCTTTGGATAAGCCAGAGAATGAACTAAGTGGATAGAGGCATTGCATGGAATCATGATTAAGGGATCTTCCTTTAAAAGCAGGAGGGGACAGATGCTTATTTTATGCAGAGCTGGAATGTTACAGCTGGGTTGCATAAATGTTACCCTTCTATCTAAAAACCCCAAGCAGCTTCTGGTGGCTTGATGTCTGTGTGGACAACAGATCATCAGAAGAGCAAAATTCTGTTTTTAAGCATCGGTATCTCCTAAAGCTGCATAATTTGTGACAAAATAGGTCCTGTTGTGTGGAGTTCAAATGGGCATTACTGTTTTCTAGTCTGGCATAAAAGCAAAGAGTTTTTTTCCAATTATTGAGTCCTGCTCTGAGGCATTTGGGTTTCCCTACTCAGAGCTGGACTGAAATCAATCCAAGTTTTCTCTGAAAGGATAACAAAGCAAAAAAAAAAAAACCACCCAAAACCTGAATTTCCATCCACTTCTGTTAGAAATTCCTCTTTGGGAACAGAGCAAGAAGGGGAAAATGTGCTGATTTGCCTTCTCCTGACACTTCCCAGGCCTCTCCTGGTCACCTGCTGTGTGTGTGGAGTCCCAGGGTCAAACAGCTCTCGGGCCTCGGCCTCTGGAGAGGAGGCATCTGCTGTGGGCCTGCCAGCCCAGAGAGCACACACAGGGCTGGGCCTGGGGGGCTTTCCTGGGGAGACCCAGAGTGAAACTGCTGCCTTTGGGGCTTTGTGTTCTTCTCGAAGAGGAAGGAGAAAATTATCCTTTTTGTCCATTGAAAATGGTGGTGTTGAAGCTTCCTGGATATTTCAAAACTAAGCTAAACCTCCTATACTGTATTTTACAAATGCACTTTAACTACCTTTTTAAAGAAGATTCCCCTCTATTCTGGGATGCAGAAGGGAAGGGAGTCCTATTTCCAGACTGCTGAGAAATGGGGTTTTTTTTTTGGTCAATGGCTAATAATCCTGATTACTAATTAGCAAGGTATTTCAAAGCAAAGACTTTACTTTTTGCTGCTTGTTATCTAATTTACAGGGATTTAATTTTATGTAATGTATTGTATATTTATACATCTGTAATTAATTGCACATTAGATAAGGAAGAGGATTAGCTTCGGTCTAACACCCACTGGTACCATACAATCGACTAATAACTGCCTGTGCACGTGCATCTGTCTGGTTCTCCTGCACAGCCTGGGTTGGGGGGGTTTGTGCTGTGGTGGGGGTTTCTGTGGAAGCTGCAGGTGCTGAGCCTGCTGCTGGAAGGAGGAGGATCCTGCTGCTGCCCGGGAAGGGTCTGGGAACACCCCTTGGACCGGGTCTGGCGCGTGTGCGTCCCATCAGTGGAGTTCCTCGCCCCGCTCGTGGGCTGGCTGTGCTGTCTGTAGCAGGAATGTATTAACTTTGTGCTTCCTCGTTTAAAAAAAAAAAAAACATCAGCTGTCCAAGAACAGGACTGACTTTTCTTTTGTTCAGAAGGCCATTTATGCGTTCTGTGTATTCGAAAGCAAAACGAGTCCAACGCCAAGCAGGTGGTTGTGTCCAATGTCGTTGGGAACAGGTTGTAAATTGCCAGGATCGGCTGTGGATTCGGAAAACCGAGGGGGTGGAGCCCCTAAGTCTTCAATTCTTAATGCTGCCAAGTGAATGGCCTGACCCTGAGCAGTGCTGAACCACCCCTTGCTTTCCCAGAGGCCAGGACTGGAAGCAGAGGGAGCGTTGGGTGATCAGCACTCCCCAGGATCAGGTCCTGAATTTTCCACTCTGCGTGTCCATACTCCATGTGCAGTTGGTTCTGGCTCCCGAATTCGGCCATCAGACGTGCTGTTCACTGAGTACATCCCTGGGGAGCGCAGTGCCCGTGCCCCTGTTCATCTCTGCACTCGAGGTGTACGAGGTAAATGCTGGATAAGTGGCCTTCTCGAACAAATCTCTTTGCAAACTGATTTCATCCCAGCGAAGGAGTGTATCAGCAACACTGTACATTAATTTCAGGTTTTCATTTTCTTATTTTATTTTGTAAATATATCCGATATTTGGAGCTTGAGTATACAAAATGTAAATATAGTTCATGTATTTGTACTAATTCTGATCCATTTGCTGTATAGCCTTAGGTGTGCAATGCAGATATCTAACTGTGTATGGTAACCTTGCACCACTGAACTGTTAGTGAACGAGGTGAAACAATAAAGGTACAACCAGTGCATTAGCAGGTATGATGTGTGCTCCTTTCATCAGCATTTAATTCCTGCTGTCTTATGTTGGTTGCTTGTTTTCTAAACCTGCCTTGAACAAGCTGGTGCTTTTGTGAGATTTCTGTGAGGCCCTGCTTGTCCTCCCTCATCCTTTCCCCTCTGCTGTGTTACACAGAATATCTGAGGGCTCTTTGGATGCTTTCAAGAAAATGTTTGGCCTGAAAGGTGAATTCAGCGTGTCACAGATGCCAGTACTGAACCTGCTTATCTTGTGTGACACTTAAAAATGAGAGGAAATGTGTGAAATCAAACCACCCAAACACAACAGCAAAGTCTGAGGCACCGGCTCTGGGAACAAAGATGTGTCAGGGAATCCCTGTGGATCGTTCCTGTCTTGGTGTGAAGGTGGAAAGTTCTTAAAAGTCACGGACAGGACATTCCCAAAGCATTTGAGTGCCACCAGAAGAGGTCAAACACACCTCTAGAAACTTCAACTCAGGTACTTGATGACAAAATCCCTTTATCAGGCTGCTGCCACATCTGTTCTTCATCTGCAGAGCTCTTTGCTGCTGGTGCTGACTCCTTATTTCTTTGCAGGTAGGCACTTGAGTAACCTGTGACCT